TTTTTTCAATTGCATTACCAAACATATTAATGGAATCTTAATTACATTACATTTTTCATTGGATTATATCTTTGATTATTACATTATATTACATTGCATTACATCCAACCAAACATAGTCTAAGTTTTGAATGCTAGTAATTCCTTTAGCAACAATTTGGGAATATTAAATACTAGGAGAAACGAATAGGAACATTGCTAAAGTCAACTTAGAGTTTGTTCAGCCAAATTAGTTTTTAGCTATTTTAGTAGAGTTTAACTGTTAATTGTCTGAGTAGTTTTTCATGAAACACTAAAAGTTATATATATATGTTAACTTTTCATAAAATGTTACATTAACCTCTAAAAGTTAGTTCAAACATTATGTCATTGAACACTATAAAAAATAATATTTAGCATTTTCACCGGTCAAATGTTAAAAGTTACTTAACAAGCTGTTATCGAACATAGCTTTAATTAAGAAAGACCTTCTCTACAATTCTTAGTAATCGACTTCAATATTGATTTTAATTTAAAATGGTAGCTGCCAACTTTATAGGATAAATCTAATAAAACTTGATAGCAAAATCTAGATCATAGTCTAAGATTCTAAGAGAGCTTGCAAACAAGTTCAGTTTTAGAATAAAAGGGAGCTTAAAACAAACAATACCCTTTTGATAGCTTGCAACAGTCCAAAAGTCAAAATTTTTTGTGTTAATCCAAACAAACAAACTGGATTTGTCAATTTAATCCAAAGAAAATGGATTTTGAAATCGAAATTTAATTACAAGAAAAAAAATTTTTGGAAAAAATTAAATTTTATTCCAAGAAAAAGAATTTCAAATTTTTGGAATTTTATAAAAAGAAAATAACATTTTAAGAAATAGATATTACTTCAAGACAATGAACTTTTGAGAAAAAGCAATTTTATGCCACAAAAGAGAATTTCAAAATTTTGGAACTTTATTCCAAGAAAATGAATTTCTGAAATTTGAAATTTTATTCCATATAAAGAAAATGAATTTTCAAATTTGGGACTTATTCTAGGAAGAAATGATATTTCAAATTTTAGAAATGAAATGAATTAAGATACTGTTTTATTCTCCATTTTAAATTTATCAGATTTTTGAACAATTAAAATATTGTCTCCTCTTAAACAATTTCCTTTTTGGAAATTTCTTGCCTACACCCTATATATGGGTGATCTCATACACCAAACCAATCAAAACAAGTTTTCTAAAAAAATTTTATTGTTTTTTTCCTTTTTTTTCTAAACCTATGGTTAGAAATACCATTGTTTGAACAAAAATATTGTTTGTAATTGATTTGTTATATAAGTGGGTCCATACATCGGGTTTAGGTAAGCTTTTATAGACTCCTTAGGCTTCTTGAAAGAATGTAAGAGGACCATTTTCTATTTCATTTCCACTTCACCTTCTTTAAGCTTTCTCTCTCTTTTCCTTGTACCTCTTTTCAAATCCTTTTCTTATAAAACTAAAGTGGCTCAGCACGACATTAATGCTCCTAAAATGAAAAACTTTTTGCCACCAACCAATGATATTTAGATGTCTTTCTACTAGTAGATAAAGAAGAAATTGTGTTCAAATATTGCACAATAACTCAATTCTCTCCAAACTCCTTCTACCCATATATGCATAATTACTATGGATCAAGCAATTTCTTTTAATCAAAAATTCATTTACCTATTTGATGATTCTTATTGATTTATGTTAGCTCTATTCATTTAACTATTTTCTTTAAAATTTCATTGTTCAAATGGGGGATGTCTTACCATTCTAGAATCCTCTAAACGAGGCTAGAAATGGCACTCCCATTTGTTCTTTATCGCTTTATTTACCTATTTCTTTAATTGCTTTCTTTACCGCTTTCTTATAATTGTCATGCATTTATCTATCTTAAAATTGTTTTCACTCAACAAAACATTAACATTTAGGCCAATTATTTGATTATTTTAAAAGGAAAACCTAGTATCGAATCCTTCTTTGGTTTCAATGATTAGTGCATTTTATTTATTTTGACCAACTCCTAGAGTTAAAATTACGGTTTTCTTTAGATTTTTCCCTCAAAAATAAAAAATATAAGTAGCGACTCCTTTTCAATAAAAACAATCAAATTAAATATGCTTTCACACTGTGAACCCAAGTCAATATGAGCATTCCGATTTCATTTTTTAGGATATTAGACTAGGCGCTCATGTCAGGGCCTCACACCACAACAATAATAACAATATTGAGCAAATAATCAATAATAAGAACAATGAAAAGTAAATATTAAAGCATAATGGAGGAAATGAAAGCATAAATAAAGCATAAAAGGAAATGAAAGCATAAATGAAGCATAAGAGCAATAATGATAAAAACATAAAGGCATTAAAGATAAATAAACTGCAGGAATGAAAAGTAAAGAACTGTAAATGTAAATTGACAGAATGTAAATTGGATTAAACTAAAAGTTGGCAAGAACTATGATTCAAAGCCTTTGATGTTCTTCCCTTAAAGGTAACAAATATGACCATCACAATCAAAATTAATGTTTCCTATTGATTTAAGTGATTCTTTTGATTCTAGAACATCATCTAAGCCTTAAGGCTTGATGCTAGACCCAAAAGGACCAATAGAATTGAGTTTAAGCATGAAGAACATGATACATGGGATTCTGGACAGGAATCATGTGCGCCATATGTAATGGCATGTGCCATTACTCTTGTGGCGTGCTTTAGAGCTAGAATAGAGTGTTCACAAGCCTTTAAACCTGTTTGGCTAGGAAGAAGTGGCATGGGTCACTACGTATCGCATGCGCCACTTTTAAGGAGTCAAACTACTTTTGAATGATCACGAGGTTTCCCTCACATGCAGGCTTCAATAGGTGGATTAAGCCACCAAAACAAAGAAAAAAAGAAGGGACAAAGATTAAAGCTCTTAGATATTAGCTTTGGTGGAGATAATCATAAAACTTGAAAGGAAACCGAGATTGATTAATTGTTTGCAATTTGTTAGAGATTTAACATCAAGGGCCGGTTCAGGTTCAACATTTTAAAAACCGAGATTGATTAATTGTTTGCAATTTGTTAGAGATTTAACATCAAGGGCCGGTTCAGGTTCAACATTTTAAAAATTTTGAACCAGCGGTTCAATTAACCGGCCATGCTTATAGTATACGATCTCAATCTATATATCAGATCATGATATACTTAACCATTTTTTACCATTTTTGGCATGTATTTAAATTATATGGATGTCTTAAGAACTTATATATGTATCCAAGAGATTTTATAAACTTCCGCTATAAACAGAGTGAATATTTATTTGTGTATAAGCAATCATGATATTAGATCATGATATAGTTGAACTATAATTTAAGTGATGGAGATTGTATGGATGTCTTAAGAACTTATAAATGTATTTGCGTGATTTTATAAACTTCCGCTATAAACAGATTGGATATAAGTAATTTGATCCAATGAGTTTTGAAGTGTTCTTGAATTTGTTTATTTGGTTGATGATAGTAGTTATGAGAGGTTGAAGATTAGATGTTGCATATAAGTGTTTTATAAGCAGGTTAAAATTTTGGGAATGATAAGAGATTAGGGGGAATTCTTGCAGTTCTTCTGCAGAATTTTCTTATTAGGATTTTAGTAAGATAATGCATGTAAAGGATAATAATGTTTAAAGAATTGAGCTATAATTATTTAATCGACAATAATTAGTGCATTTAGCATAAGATGTGGCACCTTCGGATTGGTCTATCCATAGACTGGGTGGTCTATGCGTATCCAAGTATGGGATGTTATAGTTTATGTACGACCAAGGAAACTAACCAATTGTGTTTTATTGATATACTTGGTAAATGTGGATTGAATTGGACTATTATATTATGTAATTGGATTATGCATTCATGTAATGAGATTACATGTTTTAGAAGAAAATCTTATTCGTTGCATAATTAGGTGATCATATTATGCAATTGGATTGTATATGATTGAATAACAACGCACATTACTGAGAAAAGAAGCCAATGTTTTTATACTCAGACCAATCTTATTTATGTTTAATTTTATTTTATGTTTACTCTGTATTTTGTTTCAACAATATAAATTTATTAACTTTGCATTTAAATATATATCAAATGTTTTATCAATACAATTTTTTTAATTATCCAAAAATAGTTCAAAGAGTTAATTATTTTTGAGATTTTACTTAACATATTTTTGATTATTTCTATTGTTCATGTAAAGTTGCAAAATGAAAACTTTTTATAAAATGATAACATAAGTCAATTACAATAAACATTATCCATGCGTGAAGTGTGTCAAGACTAGTTTGTTAAATGGAGATGCATATTAAATAGACGTGCAAAGAAACTATAAATATTATACTTTCTTAAAAGGGAAATATGAATATAATTTTCTTTAAGAAAATATATGACTAATAATTTGCAATGAGTAAGAAAATAGAAAGTTAGCCTATTTTTATAAGATGGAGAGAGCATTAAAAAAGCTTTATGGTTTGTTGATCCATGAAATTAACAAAAAAAAAAAAAAAAATGCAAAAAAACAAAAAAAAATGCTATAGCAATAGCCAATACCAATAAAGCCACTAAATGTTTTTATATATTAGTTGTTAATTAATTCATATTAAAAAAAAAAAAAAAAAAATGCTATTAGCAATAGCAATACCAATAAGCCTACTAAATTTTTTATATATTAGTTGTTAATTATTCATATTATAATAAATTCAAACCCCTGTTACTATTACGTACCTTTTGGATAAGTTCTAATTTTCATAGTACGTGTTACAAAAACATTAATCCATAGTACATTTTATGGATTGGTCATCTGAAGAATATTGCAATAATGTATTCAGAGGTCCCCAAAAATAGAAACTCAAAAGCAATCAAATCTAGCTACAAATCATGCCCACAAAGACGCCTATAAGCAAGGACAACCTTAAGCAAATTTCTCATTCACAATTTCCCTACCATCCGTAGGTATAGCCTTGGTGAAAAGAGAAAGGCAGTAAGCCCTTTTGTGTTCTAAGCCTTGTAATTTAGTTATTTATTTATTTTTATCCTCCTTTCTTCTTCTTTAATTAGTTAACCTCTCTACCTTTCACTTTTTTCTTCATTTTTTCTACAACATTATTGTCATAAATTTGTTTTTTACTATTTACTAATTTCAAATGAAGAAACTTTGTGCAAATGTTGACAGAGATGATGCCCTTGAGACAGTTCTTGAGGTCCCAATACCAGAAGAAATGTACAATAGTATGGGAAGCAATAAGACCTTGCGTTGGCATAACATGCTTGCATGGATGAAGGCTCAAACATCTGATAAATGGTCACAACCGGTGATTGCAGCCCGCATTAACGAGCTTCGTTTTCTTCTTTACATGGTTGGATCTCCTCTTATTCCTCTTCAGGTGCAAGTTGGTCATTCTGTTCACAAGCCTGTTAAAGATTGTTCAATTGTAAGTAATACATAGTGTGTTTAAAATCGGACAGAACATGAATTAATTGAATTAGATTGGATATGATTTTTCACTTTTTATTGTTATAGTAAAAAGCCCAAATATTAAAAAAAAAAAATACCCATTTAACTTCTTGAAAAGAGATATAATGAAGTTATCAATTGAAAAAACTAAAAGAATTGTAAAAAAAATTTGATTAAACAATTTATAGGAAGAAAAAAGTTGCTTGCGAGTCATGGAGATCAAATCCAGGACCTTCTAAAACTTTGCTGTTCTTCCTGAACCATTCGACCCTGGTTTCGATTTTAAAAGCCATTTACTTTAAATTCTAATTCTGCCTCCTTGGTTAGCATCAAATCAGAACGGATCAATAGTCGGTTTGCAATTAACGGGTCTATCCTGTTCGATTTTAAAAACACGTAGTAATAAATAAAAATCTCATACCTGAATTAAGATCAACTTTAGATGAATCTTTGAGGATTATATTTGAGAATTTAAGACATGTATTATTGCATTCTGTTGCAGCAAGCTTCGACAGCGAAATATATAGTACAACAATATATAGCAGCAACGGGAGGACAAGCAGCGTTAAATGCAGTGCATAGCATGTGCGTAATAGGAGAGGTGAAAATTAGTACATCAGAATTTCATCAGAGTGACCAGACTATAAAAGTAAAAAGCGGCGGGGAGATTGGAGGGTTCGTGCTTTGGCAAAAAGATCCTGATTTGTGGATTCTAGAGCTTGTTGTTTCTGGATGCAAAGTCATTTGTGGAAGCAATGGCAAGGTTTCTTGGAGGCATTCTTCCAATCAACAAGGACCTATTTCTAATGGTCCGCCTAGACCCTTGCGTCGTTTCCTGCAGGTACCAATTTTTATATTTCCATTAAAAAAATAATTTCTATACAAAAATTCAATTTTTTTTTTATAATAGCTTAAAATTTAACCAACAAGCAATTGCATGGCATTTTGATTTTATCATCTTCCTTGATGGCAGGGCTTGGATCCAAGATCCACTGCAAATTTATTTATAGATGCCACATGTATTGGGGAGAAAATCATCAACGATGAGGATTGCTTTATTCTAAAGCTTGAGACGAGTCCTGCCATTAGAGAAGCTCAAAGAGGACCAAACTATGAGATAATTCACCATACAATATGGGGATATTTTAGCCAAAGATCAGGCCTTTTGATTCAATTTGAAGACTCAAGGCTTATAGGTATGAGAACTAAAGATGATGATGATGTGTTCTGGGAAACTAGCACAGAATCTGTAATGGAGGATTACAAGTATGTTGACGGAGTTAACATTGCACATAGTGGAAAGACTCGAGTTTCTATTTTTAGATATGGAGAGCAGTCTGCTAATCACAAGAGGCAAATGGAGGAGAAATGGAAGATTGAAGATGTAGATTTCAATGTTTGGGGTTTGTCAAAAGAACATTTTCTACCTCCTTCTGATCACATTAAGTTTGGTAAGAAATAGATAGTTATATTAATATTATTGAGCAAGACGAGAGATAATGTGCATGTTGCTTTTGGAGGACATGATTCAGTCAAAAAGTTTTGTAAATACTATGTATTAGCCAAATTAATGGAAAACAAGAACAAAAGAGTATTTCTTTTCTTTTGTTGTCCCGAGCTAATTACATTATTTTTAAACTATTATATGAGTTATGTATATGGGTTAATATATTTTTTCAACCAAAAAAAAATTATATAAAGGAAATGAAAGAAAGTACAATAAACGCATTGTAAAGCTTCTTCTCTTTTTTTTTCCCTTCTTCTTAGTCCAAAGGTGTTGCAGTATTGATATAATTTCTGAGATGTGCATTCTATATTAATTCCCAGTCATGGTATTCTAGAGAAGACACTAAAAGATAATTATGAATGATATTATAATTATAAATGAAAAAGGATTTTCGAAATAAGAAATAAACAAAACACGGATAAATCTAAATGACTTTTTTTTTAAGTCCAAGCAATCTTTTTCATAGGTATTTGCCTCGTATCCAATCAGGGAATTGAATTGATTATAAAAACATGAATTTAATTAGTTGATTTATTGGTGAAGAAAAATAATACCTAAACAGGTGAATAGATTGAGTTTAAAATAACAACGATTAATTACTATTGCTATAAAGCAAGGTCGTACTTTATCTTTATTACCTTTTCTTAATAATGAAATAGTTTGAAAAAGTGAATTGGTCACCATAACTACTTATCTTAGAACAAAAAAAATAAAAAATAAAAAAAAATAAAAAAAAAAGAACTTACTCCTCAATTGAATCAAATTTCCAATTTGAACTCGAACATAGATTGATGTTTTGTTCAAAAAAATGTGAAAAATCAAAACTTAATTGTCGTGTTGTAAGAAAAAAACGAATTAGGGAAGAGGAAATTTTTTTTATTGAATGTTTTTTCTCAAATTATTTTTTATCAATTTAACTACTTTATTTTATCAATTTTTTTTAGTGTGTGTGTGTGTGTATACACCTGTGATTTTCCAACAAGGTCACCATTCAGTCAAGGGACGAGAAGCTTATGGTTTTCTGACTACATCACAATTGTTCTGGGAGCACGGGATTGCTACCGGCGGCGCTAGCCATTGTAGGGTTTTCATAGTTGGCGACGGTAAGGTTTTAATAAAGAAAATACCATTTCAAAGAAGATGACATGTGTTACTTTTTGGTCCCTCATTGTTTTTCAATTGGGCTTGAAAACTTCTTAATTTATTCAATTAGGTCTCGAAATTAATTTTAATTAGATATACAAAAATCATTGTAATTCCATCAAAGTCAATCAAAATTTATAAAAATAGTTCAACCAATTTCATAAAACTAGATGTAGAATTTTAGTGGAATATGTGGAAATCTTAAGAAATCCTTTGGTGCGTTTACTTACAGAAAACAATTTTCTGTTTTTTTTTTTTTTTCTAAGAAAACAATTTTCTTAGAAAACGAAAACTAGAAAACATAAAATAAAAAATACGTTCACATTATAATAATAAAAAAATTATATTTTAATTTAACTTCACAATCATTATTCAAAACTTTCATAATATAAAATAAATTTAGAAATTTTTTATGTAAACATTTTTAAATTTGTATTATTGATTATTTCTAATAATAATAATATCATTTTATAATTTTTTTTTTAAAAATAAAGGATATAATGTATTATGTAACATTTTTATAAATATTTATTAATTGATTAATTTAATAAAATAATACATTTTTATAATTTTTTTTAAAAAATAAAGGATAATAATGTTATTTGTAAATAAAAAATTATTTTAATTTATTAAAGCGCTAATATAAATTTTTTATTTTATTTAAAATATTTTTATTTTTCAAATTGAAAATATTTTTATAAAAAAAATAAATTTTTATTTTATTTAAATATTTTTATTTTTTCAAATGAAAATATTTTATAGAAAAAATCATTTACAGATACTATAACTTTAATTATGAAAATGTCATTTTTTTTAAAATGGAAAACAGTTGGAGAACATGTTTTTTATTATAAAGGAAAAATCTGAAAAACAACTTAAAACTATTTTTGAAATTTTAGTTAAATTTTAGAAAATTTTTTCCAAATAGAAAACTGACTGATTGAATAAAAAACTCTATTTTCTAGTTTTTTTGGAAAACTGTTCTAGAAAACTACTCCAGTTTTCGACAATTGAACACACTCTTTAATTCAGTCAAACTCAACGATTCTTTTAAAATCTAACATAATCCTAATTCAATACACCCCATTAATTTTTATGCTTTTCCTCTTCATATGAAAATCAAACTGAACATAATTTTTTTTTTTTTTGTTGATTTTTTGTTCTACTAAAGCAGAAAGGACTATAACCTCGGTTATCCAATAAAAAGCAGAATACAATTTCACATGCCACTAATATGCATTGAGGAACAGTACCATAGAGTTTCAAAAATACTTCTAATTCTTACTTTATATAAAATAATTATAAAAACTTTTCATTGAATATTCATCTACTGAAAAAGTTGTTTGAGATCCTTGCAGAAGACAAGATTGCAAGTTTTTGACAACAAAAACTTGGAAAAAACAAGAACCTAACTAGATTCCTACGTTGTTCCTGCTATGAAACTGAGGATAACCGAGTATTGTCCACCTTCCGCATGTCGCAGATTGTGGCAGCATATGAGATTTGCTATTACAGATTTAACAGCGGGTTTGAAGCCCAGGTTCTCAAGTTCTTCCCATCAGTTGCTGCTCCCTTTCGAAGTCGCAGCAGCACCACCTTTTCCTACTAACTTCAGACTCTTGCTTAATTCCCGTGCATTCTGCCATCGGACAAGAAAAACTACTTAAGCACAAGATAGTAGGGGAAAAACAAAAGGCAACTAATAAGTGTTCAGCAATGCACAATTAGATGAAGCCAGTGTCTCAATCATCAAACAAAAATGTAATTGAACAAACTTTTCATTATCTAAAGTATAAAGAACAAGATAGAACAATTAAATGTCACAATTCAACATATGGGACTCATTAGCATAACCTTCAAAATGAACTATGAGGGCCACAGAAAATCCTGTCCATGCTTTACAAACTGGTCAGGTAAAGATGGAGGGTTGAGGACAATCATAATGTCACATCCTATGATCACGCAAACGAATCCTAAAAGGAATTCCAATGGTTCCTTACGGTGAGCTTCCACTGAAAAGTAGGCAGTTACATAATGCTTTCACCAGAAGTAATGTACATCTGTATCATTAAAGCACTGAGGACAAAGTTAAGTGAAGCACTTAGTCCTAGTGTGCAAAAGGTATAGAATAGTTGCACTTCAGAAAAAGGACAGACATGCTTTGTGAATCAGTGTGCTGAAAGATCTAAGAGTTAAGAACACTGGTCGTAAATGTTAAAAGATTAAGCATAAAAATATATGTGAAAAATATTTGCGGTCAGCATGGAGATAGTTAATATATCATTACAGCTTCTGCTCTACATGTAGCTTACATCAGGCCAGAAAACTTTGTTTCCAATAGAATGTGGATGAGCTTGTTTAAGGAATAAATAGTCTGAAAATTGCTTTTTATCAAAAACATTGGAACGGACAGGCTGAGTTAGATAGAGTGGTTAAGGCTTCCAATAATGAAAAAAAAAAAAGGTCAATCTCGTGCTAGAGATGAGAAAGGAGAAATATTAATTTCAGCAAAGGGATGGACAAAGGAAAATAAGGCATCTATAACTTTAAGAGCATTAGTGGACAAATAGATTTTGCATATAATGAAGGGCGACCAGGTATCATGTATGGATCATGATGTTATACCAGGGGGAAGTTTAACCAACAAACATCAAATAACATCAGATGTATGGATGAGATAAAATAGACGAACATCCCAAGATCCTCAGACCTTGCATGGACCTGAAAATAATAATAACTGACTTCTACAGAATATAGAGCAGAAAACCAGATAGAAAAGCTTGCATGGACCTGAAAATAATAATAACTGACTTCTACAGAATATAGAGCAGAAAACCAGATAGAAAAGGCTATTGAAATACCATCTAAATAAGAATCACTGGTGGAGTTGCTCTAAACAAATGTTTTAGGCTTCCAAGTTTGAATCACAAACTCTACAAAGAAAATGATAACTTGGTAGACCAAAGAAAGACAAGGCAAATGCAACTTTGACACTCAACTTACCAATTTGCTAACCACCAACTCTAAAAAACACTAGCAATAGCTTCAAAGTCCAACAACATAATGTAAAACATATGGCACTTGAATACAAAATTGCACAACTTCCCCTTATTATTCAAAATGGTCCAATATGAGTTAGAATCACGTCAAATTCCAGGCAACCCATCAAAATCAATGTGATGCGGAGTTATGCATTGCTGCATCAATGCATTGAGCCTGATCAAGATGAAAGCTTACAGAAATTCATCCAATATATAAATGAGGATTTATGAAATACAAACAATTTGGGGGGAAAAAAGTTACAAGGGTAGAAAAAGGTGAGGCTGGTTCAAGGCTTATAATGAGTTGTATTATATCATAAATTAGTTACAGACCTCTACATGCTGTAGTGTAGGGAAGAAGAAAAGAAATATTTTGAATATTTGTTTAATCAAAGTGCCGAAAGAATAAAAGATAGGGTGAATGATCTTAAAAAATGACAATTCATGCACATTTTTTACTTGGGGAAACTTATACTTTGCTTAATCTTGTCAACTTTATTAATTATAGCAATTACAGCCACCCGGCATTCGCTTGTCTCTCTATCCAGATAATGTGCCATTCTAATGTCACACCAGTTGCCATATTGACTGCATTAGTTTTTATTTACTTGATCTCCATTTGTTTAGATGAAAATCATGATCAACGCTGATCAAACTAGTGGAGTTCTATTATTAGCTCCTTAAAACAAACAAAAAAGTAATACTGCCAGCACACAATTAGGCACCACATTAAATTTAAACGAAAGGTGCTTAGTGACAACCAAGTTGGTGGACAGAATTGCTACAATTAAAATACTTTACAGACACTATTTAAAAAATAAAAATAAAAATAAAAATAAAGCAATCTTAAGAAGCTTAAAATGAAAAATGAGCATCATTTAGATTTTTTAGGTCATTAAGGATAAATTGACCATCCAAAAAAACAAACTTGAATTCTGTTCTTAGGATTTGGGTATCAGAAGTTAATTACTCTAAGTTCACGATGTAAAATGGAAAAGGTGGTAGGTATAGGCTCATTTTTCCTTTTCAGAGGATAGGCAAAGCAGAGGTAGTCTGGCTGATAGTTTAAGATATGACAACAAAATAACCGTTTAGATGTAACAAAACTATTTTTAGTTACTCTTTTAAACAATAGTTGATACTCAAATTTGCACATCTATAAACACAATAAATATTGTCAGAATATGAAACCTTAAAGTAGGTAACTAAGCACATAAGATACTATAATCAATCAATCAATCTAACTACACCCTAGTGTGACAAAAAGTTCCACATTAGGTATGAAAAGGCAATCTTGAGCCATATAAAGCGGAGTGCTACCCTCAACCCATTGAGTTAGCCTTTCCAGGTGAGACCAACCCCATGACACTAGGACATGAACTACATCAGCAATTTCTAGTAGATGAATATAAATATTCAAGAAACGAGGAAAAACTTCATATGGGTTCGACAGATCTTAAAAAATGTCTCATGGTTCCAAGTAAAGATTTGCGCATTAGGGAAGAGTATATTTGTAAAAATTATTATGATCCAGGGTAACAATTGTGAGGACTAATGTGGTAAGACTAGCAAAGTCCCGACTAGGATATGTTTTTAGCATAACTTGTTAGTTTTTAAGTTCTTTTTTTTATTTATTATTTTTTCAACTTTGCTCAGCAATAAGCTCATTAGGCTTCTGAGGATATTGCACTCTAGTGCATGCATTAACAATGAAACCAAGTTCACTACTAATACTAAGAACTTTGAACAGTCTTGACTTAAAGCACAAAAGTTTATTAATCTAGAAGTAGGACCCGGATATAAAGAATCCTGATAACCAAAAGATTCAAAAGAGCATCTTTCCACAATGACGGAGAGATTATGATATATGCAACTACACTATAGAATAAAGGCATATGTCTGTGATTGTAACATGTTTACTAAGCTCAGGGAAAAATTCTTGTAGATATATATTAGGCTGGTCAAACGCTGCAACCCAAATATTCTTGGGCATTGAATAAACACAATGCTTTGTAATTTACATGATTAAAAGAAAAGCTTGAAGGGGGGACAGGTGCCGTATATCACGCACACTCTCTCTCTCTTTTCTTTTCTCTCATCCGACATTAGATTCTGGATCCTTCAGTTAGGTCTAAAGTTTAGTAGAGCAAGGCCCAGACAGATTTCCTCACCGTTAGTTCTTTAGCCTTACATCTAACTTGAGCATCAGTACCCTAAAGTGAACTAATTTCTGCCAATATGGTACTTGAAATGAACTGGCACATTCGGAAACAATCCATGCCAAAAACAACATTAGTAAATAATTTGACCCGATTATATAATTTAGACACATTTTTATGATCTCCAGAAGGTAACAACTAAGTGAAGAGTTAGAGATCATAAAGCATAAAGGACGCAATAAAAGGATAAAATAAACATTCAAATTTAGATAAGCTCCACTACTAAAACAGTCACAGGAGGACAAACTTAACTTTTCAGTTTGGCAAAATTTTTGGCCAATGGACTAGACAATCATTGAGAGTCCATTTCATACAATATATAGGTAGTTAGCATTAACAATATAAGCATCCAGTGACATCTTATAACCATGGAGTATGGATATATGCTACGAACAAGTAGAAAACCCACACCAAAATCACACCACAAAAGAAAATAAAAGATAAAGAAGAAGAACCACAAACATATCCAACTTGAGCATAAGATCTAATAACACAAACAGCCACAGATAGCAGTCTAGAGCATTATAATCTATCCATCAATTTATCACGCTGACTCTATAAAGCTTAGTCACATATACTTAGTTCAAGGAGAATGGACCATCTTAAGCATCATAAAGTGGGAAAATAGATCAGTGCATAGAGTCCTTATTCCACAGCTTTTATTTGAGAGCTGTCTTAAGTCGCATATTCAGTCTGCATCTTAAGCTATCCAAATCGTGAACTTGTTTTCAATGGGCAAATTTCTGTAATTTGGAACCGTTCATCAGTTTTGCCATTTCAAGTAGAATCGATTAACCATAATTTACAGAGATAAGCATGATAGATTCTTCACCAAATCTGCTATCGTCCTAGATAATGACACGTATCAGAACAGAAGTTTACTCATGTGGAATCTAACAGGCTAGGAAGAGAATATGATGGAGGATGTTTCATGATCTGACTAGTGTTCCACATATTCCAAGTTATCATACAGGACGTTCAACTAACCTGATAAGCATCTTTACAGGGTATTTCTCAGGTGGCTCACAATAACAAATTAACAGTAGTTAACACTTCACACACTTAAAAATGCCTATTACGTATTAACTACATATCAGATGTTGCAATACCAATGACCAACATCCAAAGATAAAATAATAATAATAATAATAATGCTCGTTGAACTTGATTCACCAAATAAATATCTAGCTTCTTGTCAAGTGACTCGAGTCTGAAATCCTCAAACAACCATTTACAGGTCCAAACATTATAAAGTTCTCAAATAGGACTCAAGAGAAGCTTCTAGACCCTTACAACTTAAAAATAGTAAGTGTGTAAAAACAAAACCCATAGCAAGGCCACAAAGTACCAAAATTCAAAATTTTTCTTCTTTCAAGTGACTATTTACATGTCTGAACCTCCTCATAAAGTTATCAAATAGGACTTGGAAAAGCTTCTAGATCCCTACATCTTAAAAATAGAATGTAAAACAAAACCCATTGCAAGAATACAATGATTCAAAATTCACATTTTTTTTCCAGGAAAAAAGGGCGGGACAAGAGAGACATCCAAAGAACAAGAACAAAGGTAAAATAAATGAGGGATAATCCATCTCAAAACATTCGAGGTCACTGAAAATACAGAAAATCTTTATTGAAAGCTAAAAATTCCAACAACTTAATCACCCTTCAAATTATAATTTAAATTTGTGACGACATATAAATAATAAAGCTTCTTCCAAAAATACTGGGTGACTTGAGAAATTTACTTCCCTTAAGACCACTAGCACTAAGATATACTATAGCAAACAGCAACTTTCAACACAATGACAATGTGCATTGTTCCAGTCATAAATGATCTGGAGTAATACTTTAACTGGTAGCTCAGAACCTAACCCAACTCCTAACCACAAATCAACTTATGCACAGTAGCATGGATTTTTCAAAGTTAATGCAACATAAAATAAACTTAGATTTTTTCTTCTCAATAAAGTAAATGATTTTTCCCAATTAATTAAGATAACTATTAAATGTTGGTTCGAATTTCCAAAAGCAAATGGTTTATAACTTGGTAATTGATAACTAGATACAGAAAAATAAAGCCCTAGAATGCTGACCGTTGATTGAATAGGAGGCGGATCTAGAATAATGGAGCGGACAGACATCTTAGCGATCTCAGAAATGGCAGCATCTCTAATCCCAGGGACATCGCTAGTCAACTCCTCGTAGGCAGCCTCAAAAGCCTCCAGCCAAAATCGAGGCAATCTGATCCGACGGCTATTAGTGTAAACATCCCACATGTGCTTCACCACCTTCTCCCTTTCCTCCATTTCCTACAATTTTCTCCTAAAATCAGCCAAGATCCATTTATCCATACACATTAAGAAAGAGAGAAAAAAGAGAGAGACTGACAAGGACGTCGAGATCGTCGTGTATAGGAGCATCAATGTCGTCGTAAAGACTATTGAGATTGCCGGAGGACCAACGTAGGGTGACGGTTCCGGTGAACATCGACCAAAATGCCAAAAGCAGAATGGCAGCTAAAGCCCAGAACTTGTAACGTCCTTTCCCGAATAGAATAGAATCAGAGCTATCCTTCTTCGCATTTGCTTTTCCCTCTGTTGTTCCCGTCGCCGTCGCAGCCGATGTCGATGTCGGGAGAGAATCGTCATCCTTCATGTCGGTTCCAATTTTTTTTTTTTTTAATATATTGATAAGGGAAGTTGGTTACTGTGTTTGATCTGGCCAAAAGGATTTCCTGTTTCCGCAATGGAGAAAGATTGGTCTATTGTGTATATTTTGTGGGACACCACGCCTTCTTTTTTATTTTTCTTTCTCTTTGACTTTGATTAGCTCTGTGGGAGTTGACGTGAGTTGGCGGGAATAGTGCTCGCCGTTGATTCATGGTTGTTTGGTTTGTAGAGTTCAGATGCAAAGAGAGAACGAAAATGATTGGTGTAAATGAGTCCTATTGAAAAATATTTTTAAAACGGACCGGATATTGAACCGGCATGGTAACCTAGTCACGGTTGGACCAGATCAACTCGATTGAACCAAATTTTTGACTTTTTTTTTTTTACATATTTATCAAAAACTAAAATAACAAGTACCAAATATAAATAATAAATATCACAATGTAAATTAGAAATAAATGTCAAGTATAAGTTATAATTAAATATTCCAAACATAAATTAGAAACATATATCCAATATAATTTATATTAAAAATCCAAATATAAACTATAATTCAATATCTCAATATAAGTAAACATCCAAATTTATGAACGATGCAACCAATTTTCATTGTCAAGATCATTATAATCATCTCCTCCTTTTGATTGTATTGCATCAATATCATCATCATCCTTAACATCTAAAAAAATATTTAAAAAATAGAATTAAAGAGAAATTTCAAACAAGTTTTGTTTCAAGATAAATTTAATAGTGCATAAAACAAATTAATCAAAAGTTAAAAACTAAGAACAAACCTTGAGATGCATCTCCAACATTCTATGGATACTCTTCTTGAAGTGCACTTTCAAGCTCATCAAAATTAAGTTTTCCTTTTTCTTCTTTTTCCACGATCCAAAATTCAATTTTGTCAATGGACTCATAATCAATTGGATGGTAAAGTCTTTTGTTTTTTGTCAATCTATCAATTATAAGTATATGAAAGTATTATTTCTATGCAAGGAATAAGATATAAAAAATAAATATATGAAAAAAATATGTCTCACCTATCTTGCAAGCTACAAGTTGTAAAGAACATAAACAAGATCATTAAACCTTTGATGCTCCAATCTATTTCTCTTGTTTATGTGAATACGTTCAAATACACTCCAATTGCGCTCGCATCTAGAAGAAGAAACAGTTTGGCTAAGGATTCTACAGTCAATTTTTGCAAATTTGAAGCATCATAACCAAATATGCTCCACCATTCATCTTTTGTTGAATATGAAACAAAATAAATAAATTTTTATATAAAAATCACGAAATGCATATACATAAAACTCCCCAAATCAAAATAAGAAATTATAGTTATATCAAATTAATTCTTGCTAGGTCTAGTGGTTTTGCTGCAATTGAGAGCCTTTGGCCGAGCTGCCCATCTCTCGCTCTCGAAAGATTCTTGTCTCTTCTAATATCTTTGTTCCTCTAAAATCCTCTATCTAATCAATTACATCAAGAAAATCTCGCATAACTTCTAGCTTTCTATAAAAAGTGGCTTGATCTTATTGAAAAGCATGATTCAAGTAACATGTTGATGCATGGAGGTCTCGAGGCAACATTCTATCCCATCTATTCTTTATAATATCAGTGTAGGGCTTGTATATATTCTTCTTATTTTTGAATATCTTTTTAATCCCCAAACATGCCCTATACATGATCTCATAAATATAAACCAAAGATGATTTTTCATCGGTATCACAAAGGCGCAATAAACATATTATTGAAGTCATAATTCTCACAACCATCAAGCAATTATTCCACATATTTTCATCCAACACAATTTATTTCACCTCTTTACCTTTTTGCATTTTCAAAAATTGCTTATAAGCTCACCAATAACCAAAGCTTGCAAATCATCTTTGTGGCCATGTATGCTTTGTAGTGCAATAGAGTTAGTTACAAAATGAGTAGCCCCAAGTTTGATGATTTCTCTCCAATTAACTCTCAGCCAATTCAAGGTGACTTTACAATTATAAACAAAAACAGTCACTTTATATGTAAGAACTATAAGACTTTAGATCGTAGGCATTTTCCTCATATCTTTCATAATTAAATTCACACAACGAGTTGCATAAGGTGACCAACTAATAAAAGGATATCTTTCCATAAGCTTACTAACTGTAGCTTTATAATTGGCTCCATTATCAATCACCAAATGAACTACATCACGAGGACTAACCCATTCTACAATTTCAGAAAAAAGATTACACAAATTTTCTACATTTGTGTAGATATCAGAAGCATCAACTGATTTGATAAATGAAATCCTTTGGACAGTAAATCAACAAATTAATTAATGGTCTTCCTCTAATATTTGTCCATCCATCTCCCATTATAGTACAACTAGTTTCAACCCAAGTGTTTCTATATGAATCAATAATCAACTTAACATGCAACTTAGCATCATGTAACAAATTAACAGGCAAAGCATGATATGAGAGAGCCTTATAGTCATGACCAATGTTAGCTATTTTATTGATAGCAAGTTAAAAATAAGGCAAGTTCAAAATAAGGCAAGTTGCAAGCATTTATAGGGATACAAGCATCATAAAACCACAATGCAGTAGCCATATAAGTGTCATTCCATTTTCCCTTACTTTCATACATGCTTTAATACTAGGTTGAGAAGAATCACTTACACCTTTTTGAAAATATGACTCAATCCTAAAACCAGAAGGAGTTTTCCTCTTTCCTTTTGAACTCCCAATCATATGAGAAGGAAACATTTGGATGTCATCAACATCTTCAGCCATTGGAATTGCATTATTCAACCCTTTCTTATCCTTTAGCTTTTTGTGTGTTCTCATCTAATGAGCATTTGATGTGATGTCGAATATCTGCAGTCACATTTTTGCATGGATCAATATTCCCTCTAGTCCCAGCAAGATGTTGCTTCATTCTATTAATGCTCCCACCTGCAACTCATTTTTTGCAAAATTCGCAAATCAAAATCTTTCTTCCTTGTGAATTTATTCCTTCTGTAACATATTTCCATGCTATATCTTTTTTTTAATCAAAGAGAACCTCCCACAAAAGGTGCTATAGAAGCTTGTTCTATAGATTGTGCATCAGATGACAATGTGTTTCTTGATTCCCTGGCTTCTGCAAAGGAAGGGCATAAATAAAACTATTAATTTAACAATATTAATTTATTAATTAAATAAAATTAAACAATTAGATAATCTATCATTAATTTTAAATGATAATAGCATATGGAGGTTTTCAACTATTGAGTACTGCATAATTAAATAAAATTAAACATAAATTAAACCTTAATGAATGAGTGACCCAATGAAATATCCCGAATTTTTATTTTCAATAAATTAAAACTATTAATTTAACAATATTAATTTATTAAATTAAATAAAATATAAACAATTTAAGATTAATCTATCATTTAATTTTAAATGATAATAGCATATGGAGGTTTTCACACTATGATGTACTGCATATTAAATAAAAATTAAACATAAATGAAACTTAATGAATGATGACCCAATGAAATATCCCGGAATTTTTATTTTCCAAACTTTTTTAAATTTTTATTTAAATTCAAAAAAATTTCGATTTTTGACTTATGGGCTAAACACCAAAACAATTTCTTAGAATTTGGGTCCAAAGTGTTGTGAGTTGGGCCCAAGCCCAAATATATTGTTCAGGAATTTTCGATTTGAGGACAGTTAAAAATTTTTCAAGAAATAATATTGAAAACTCCAGCAATTTATCTGTTATGAATATATATAAATTAATATATCCTAAAATCAAATATCATCAATTGTTCATATTTTATTTATAATTGAGTGGAAATGGAAGAAATATTATGGAACCAAACTAAATAATTAAAATAATCGAAACGGGCTTAAAAACTTAAATTGATCTTTCGAAAACCCACACAAATAGCTTGAAAACCAAGTGAAAAAACTACAAACGAGCAAAAATCGAGGCGAATCATTTCAAATTTAGACCAAACCGGTTTCGAATCGAACCTGGAATGGTCTTGAAGCCCCAAGATTTTTTCTTTTCTTTTTCTTTTCTTTTTCTTTTTTTCTTTTATCTTTTTTTTTTTCTTTTCCTTCTTTTTCTCTTTCCTTCTTCTTCCTGGAGCCAGGCCATTGCGCGCGCAACCCCCTCCCCTCCCTTTTTTTTTTCCGACCACCCGAGACCATCGCCAACCTCGTTGTCGCCTTTCTTCACTGCAGCAGGCCCTCGCCCTCCCTTCCTTCTCTCTCTCCTTTCGTTTCTGGGGCGTACACTCACAGCAGACTTGCGAGTTTGTTGATCGGGAAATCGCGTCGCCTTCTTTAGCTTCAACTCTCCGGCAAATCGATCGCCCCAGCTTCATCCCCGTCGACGGTTGTAGCTCCGCTCTCCCCCTTCTCCATCGTCGTTCATCTTTACTGGGCAACAAATCGCAAGGAGGTTGCGATATCGTTCTTCGGCGTGAGGGACAGTTGGCATTCCTTTCTGTCTTGCACTTATTCCGACATTTATCGCAACTGGGTAAGCAATTTCCAACCTTTCTCTTAGTAAGGTAAGTTTGATTAGTGAATTTTCCAGCCTGGTGTGCTATTGAGATTAAACTGGAATTTTTAGGATTTTATTTTTTTTTAATTATTCCTTTCAATTTATTGTTTGATAGTGTTACATATGAGGGTAGTAGGTCTAATAATTTGCAACAGATTGGTTAGTTGGTGTGCCAATTTAAGATTTTAGGTAGAAAAAACTTACGAATCTGTTGTAGGTGGCAGCAAAGATATTAAATTTTGTTAGAAGACAAAATATGGATGAGGAAGCTGTATTTTTTTTTTTATTTCCAGGTCGATAGATATTTCTAAATGCTTATTCATATTCAATAGATGATGGGTTCATGGGATCATTAAATGGAATTTTCGAGATCTTAATAAAATAACAAGGAAACTGGAAGAGTTTATAAATAAATTGCATATAATTATTAAGAATATATATATATATATATATATATATATATAATATATATATATATTATATATATATATATATATATATATATATATAGTTACACTAGAAGGATATAAACGTTAAAGCCAGATATAAATGCAATTGTTTTATCTACTTAGTTTATTTGCTTAA